GATGATATATATGGGAGATATATCTAAATTTCAATAGGGGTTGTCCTGGGGCCAAACAGATACTGTTTGGAAAATTTCATCTCAATCGGATAATAAATAGGACCTGCATTTTTTTCACAAAAATACATGGACAGACGGACGGACTGACATGCATACTTTGACTCAGAAAGTGATTCTCCATGTTACAAACAAATGCACAAACCTCGTTTATTTATTTGCATAGTAGAAAAGAGCCACCGATCCTTGTCAGTTTCTTCGGTTTTAGCCTAGAGTATTCTCCCTTAGGAGTTTTTCAACAACAACTCGTATGGGAAAAAGGTTTCTATACCCCTGAGACTAAGAATGCCAAAGTGGGCGCTACGACTGTATTTGTGTTATGGAGAGAGGTGGAACGAGGGGCATAAATTGATATTTGCCATTCACTACATTGCACATAGGAAACCACTTGGGAAAATTGGGAATACCCACAATGGAGTGAGCCTTATCAAGTGAGAGGATCCTTTCAGTTCTTAATAAACACTCCATTTTTTTATACACACTGTCATATGGCTACAGAGATAGATGTCATTTGATATGACCAAAAAGGTGCCTCAAACGAGGTTTTACACACGATGTCTCTTTGAACCAAATCCATTCCAGGCATTTCGATTCGATCTAAGGATGTCCGTCCATTTGTCCGTTTGCCTGATGCGCACGATAATTCTCAAAGGAAGTATCCGATTTGATCCAATCTTGGTACATCGTAATATTATCGTCAAACCTCCACCACAAAAGTTCAAAATTTTTAAAGAAAATAATTTAATTCATAGAAGGAGAAAAGGATAATTCGATTTTATGCAAACCTTTCAAATACCAATAATCTTGCCAAGTATCTCCCCAACAAAACGTCAAAATTTATAATAAATATAAATCTTTAAAAAATGTGAAATAAGAGTCCGATTATCTTTAAATTTCACATCCATTTCAGATCCGTTGTGACGATGGGATATATCAGTCAACTGACTCCGGTACCTCCTACACAACGGATCAAATTTTAAAATTGTTATAACTATCATAAACTAAGAAATAAGAAATTCATTATGAACTTCACATATTCCAAGATCTGTTGTTAAGATGATAGATATCGTTCCATTTCTTCCGGTAGCTACCTCACATAGGGGTCAAAATTTTGAATAACAAACAAGTAAAAAAGCATCTAAGTTCGGCCGGGCAGAACATTTAATACCCTCCAAAATTTGGAAGGAATTGCATCGAGTATTTTTTTGTAATAAGTTGCAGTACCCTGTACAATCTTTCAATACGAAATTTGAAGAGATTAAATAATGTCGCTTAAATAATCAAACTACCGAATATAGAGAGGTATCTTTACATATGAGTTAAGTATTCTTTTTATACCCTACACCACATAGTGGTAAGGGTATTATGTCTTTGTGCATTTGTTTGTAACATGGAGAAGGAAACGAGATAGACCCATAGTTACTTTTGAGAACCTTCATAGAATCACTTTCTGAGTTGATTTATGCATGTCCGTCCGTCCGTCTGTCCGTCCGTCCGTCCGTCTGTCCATGTATTCTTGTGAACAAAATGCAGGTCGCATTTATTATCCGATTGAGATGAAATTTTCCAAACAATCTTTTTTTGGCCCAAGGACGAACCCTATTGAAATTGGTGAGAATCGGATCAAATTTAGATATAGCTCCCATATATATCTTCATCCGATTTCGGGTTAAATGAGCACCAAATGTCCACTATCAGTCCAAATTACCTGAATTTTGGCACACCCAACCGAGTTCGGCCTAGAAGCAAGTATATCAAATTTGGAGAAAATCGGTTCAGATATAGCTATAGCTCCCATATATATCTTTCATCCGATTTGATCTTTAAGTCCCTAACATTCCTACTATGCACTCCACAACCGTGATATTTGGTACCAGGTATTAGATGGAGCACAGAAATAGCTGTTTTAAATTTTATCGAAATCGGTTCAGATTTGGATATAGCTCCCATATATATCTTCATCCGATTTCGGGTTAATTGACCACCAAATGGCCAATATCAGCCCAAATGGCCCGAATTTTGGCACATGTGACCGAGATTAGCCTTAAAGCAAATACAACAAATTTGGAGAAAATCGGTTCAGAAACAGCTATAGCTCCCATATATGTTTTATCCGATTTGGTGTTTAAGCCTCTCACATTCGTAATATGCACTCCACAAGAATGATATTTGGTACCAGATATAAGATACAGCCCAGAAATAGCTGTTTGTAATTTTATCGAAATCGGTTCAGATTTAGATATAGCTCCCATATATATCTTCATCCGATTTCGGGTTAATTGTGCACCAAATGGCCGATATAAGTCCAAATGGACTGAATTTTAGTACATCGGACCAAATTCAGCCTAAAAGCAAGTATATCAAATTTAGTGAAAATCGGTTCAGATATAGATATAGCAACCATATATATGTTTCATCCGATTTAGTGTTTTAGTCCCATACATTCGTAATATTCACTCCACAACCGTGATATTTGGTACCAGGTATTAGATGGAGCACAGGAATGTTTTAAATTTTATCGAAATCGGTTCAGATTTGAATATAGCTCCCATATATATCTTCATCCGATTTCGGGTTAAATGTGCACTAAATGGTCAATATCAGCCCAAATCACCTGCATTTTCGTACATAAGACCGAATTCAGTCTAGAAGCTAATACGTAAAATTTGGAGAAACACGGTTCAGAGATAGCTATAGTTCGTAAAATGCACGATAGAATTAGATAGATTTTGATTTTGTACCAAATATCTCATAGAGCTCTGAAATGCCCTGTATAAACCTTTTTACGAGAGGTCTACTAAATATGCATAGTGGTGTAGGGTATCATATAGTCGGCCCCGCCCGACTTTTGAGCTTTCCTTACTGGTTTTTTTTTTTTTGTCATAAGTATTATTTTTTTTTGTCATAGTATGTAGAATACCTTACGAGCTTTAAATACCAAATTTGCCTCTAAAATCTTAAAAATACCAAATATTGGGAGGTACCTTTATATAGGGGCTATATGAAGGCATGGACCTGCATAAGTAATTTTTTTTTTTGTTCTTTTTATTATTATTATGCAAAACTATGACCCGTTTCGAGGGATGTACCCAAAAAAGTGGATCAACATTGGGGGAGTAAGTGCTATTTCGTATCTTTAAAGTCGATCTGAGTGTCACTTCGATTTGCTGTGTGTTGGATGTATTCGGTCATATGAAATTATATATTCTCTCTGTAGCCATAATGCAGAGAGTACAGATTTAAGATGCATGTTTTTTTCCAAAATATGAGAGTGGTTTACCATTTATCATTCACACCAATCAGCCAATCAGATAGGCATAGGGACGGACTTGGATATATAAACTACTGCAACAGATCTATTACAACTATTATTATATTCAAAAACAAAAAAAAAAAATATTCTCTGCGGACTATTAGTCGGTCTAATTCTAGAGAATGTTAGTGTTATCCGATTGAAATCTAGTGTGTAGTTAGCCCACTAACAGAAGATATTTGATATTGCATTTTATCTGAAGATCAGTAAGCTCTTTTACCTGAAAATGTTGACTCTAATAATTATATTATTGGTCCGGGACGGATATTAAAGACAAATATGGATCATATCCCTAATTGTTTCTTTTCTGTCAAAAAATTCCAAACATACATTCATGTTTTAGTTTGAAGATTGCAACTTATCACCAATAAATTTGCTTTATCTTTACATTACAACCAACTTTGCAGAAGTCTTATTTTTAGCCGACTGGTTTTGAATATTTTCCACTCGAGCTCCTGTTACTCTTTTAATTTTAGAAATCTGGTTAAAATTTATTTTCTCCCTGAATGTCCCATATCCACAAAGTTCTGCACTAATTATATTAAAATAGCAAAACAACGTACAGAATACGCTCTTTAAAAGAGCAACAACTTTTGCAGCCAAGTACGATGAATGTGTGTACACCAGGGTTGGGCATATTGCACTAAATTTTTAGTGCACTAAGAATTAAATAATTAGTGGTAGTGCAATTTTTAATTCCACTACCACTAAAGGGTTAGTGGTAGTGAAAAATAAATTGCACTACCACTAACCCTTTAGTGATATTTAAAAAAAATTGCACTACCACTAAATTTAGTGATTTTTCAAAAAAAAATTGCACTACCACTAAATTTTAGCGAAGCCAAAAAAAGCACTATGTATATAAGTATTATAACAGCTATAATGAAGTTTATTAAAGTGAGTAGGGAACAACAATCCAGAATATATAGTACATATTCATAAAATTTGTTTACTTTTCTAAATAGCACTAATTTAGTGCTATTTTTTATGAAATACCACTAATTTAGTGCAAGTTTTTTTAAATACCACAAAATTTAGTGGTAGTGCTATTGAAATTTCACTACCACTAAAATTTAGTGGTAGTGCAATTTTTTTTTAAATATCACTAAAGGGTTAGTGGTAGTGCAATTTATTTTTCACTACCACTAACCCTTTAGTGGTAGTGGAATTAAAAACTGCACTACCACTAAATGAACAGTGATAGTGAAATTATTAGTGCACTAAAAATACAGTGCATTATGCCCATCTCTGGTGTACACACGTTGTGCAAATTTTGTGCGTTTATAATTCTCTAACGTGCAGAAAGTTTTTAAAAAAAGTTTCGACCTATATACGCAAAGTAGGTTGAAATTTTAATACGTAATCATGTTGAGTGTTATTGTTCTCTTTCTGAACAAAAAAAAAAAAAAAACCTGACAATTTAGCAACAACATAAAAAATATATAAAATTAAAGTTATTTTATATCAACGTGGATTGAAGGGTTATGAATGTTACTATGAAAAATGTAATGCAAAGTCCTTAGATTTTTGTTTGTATGTCAATTTCTATGTATGTCAAAAATTTGTATATTATTATTAATATTTATTAAATTTTTGCTAACAATAATATTTCTGTTCTATTTTTGCACAGGGGCTGATGCCAATAATTTCGCATCGGCTTACATGTCAACAGCGGCCGGCTTACCACAATTTGGTAGCACCGCCCTGACTACATCACCATTAGCCAGTGTTGCCTTAAGTTCAGCTGCAGCAGCTGCTGCTGGAAAACAGATTGAGGGTAAGTTCTAAAAAATGTTAAACATTATTATTTGAAAATAATGAAATTGTCGAAGAAAAATCATTCAAAGTATATTTTTATTCAAATAACTACTATGCGATACAAATTTACAAAAAGACTTCATAGGATTTTTTCATTCTGTTGAAAACTTTCTGTATATGACAGAATTATTGAAGGACTCTTTATAATGACATGGTTTCTTTCCGTATGAAACTTCTATTTGTAGGAGACCTGTTGAATATCTATTTTCCATGGGGATCCCGTTGTAGATCTTCCTGTTTTTACAAAGCTATTAAAATTCGATTATCTATAAGGCACTTTTGAAGACTATCTTTTAAAATCCTTCCACTTATAGGAGATCTAATGAATTCATATGCATATAGAAGAACTTTTAACATTTTTTATGATATTGTATTGACATTTCTCAAAGGTCTCTTGAAGAATTTTCCCTTTATAGAATACCTGTTGAAGGCACTATAAAATACTAGTTTATGACCTACGAAGAACCGTTGAAGAATATCTAAATAAATATTGGTTTCCCACATAGGAAAGTATATATGGATCTTCCTAGCTCGCCGAGCTGAGTCGATCTAGCTATGTATTTCCGTCCGTCCGTCTGTCCATGTTAATTTGTAATCACTCTACAGGTCGCAATTATGACCCGATCTTCACGAAATTTAGAATGTAGGTGGGGTTAAGGTCAGAATATAACCCTAATTCTTTTGGAGATGATCGCATAATATTTAGAGGTTGAAATGGACCAAAAACTGAAAAAATTCCTGATTTTGCAGTTGCTCTACAGGTCGCAATTATAGATCAATCGAAACGGAAGTTAGCATATTGCTAGAGCTTAGGGCTGGGCAGAAGCCTTCCAATTTTGATGGTCATCGCGTAATATTTAGTGGTTGAAATAGACCATAGCATTTGTGATAAATAAAAGTCAAATTTTCCATTAAACCGCGAATATTTTTAATGCCGGCGAAATCACAAATAGACGAACAGGTCAATTTTGACCGTTACGTAGATGCCGATAGTAAAAATATGGGATATATATAGCGAAATATATACAATGTATATATACAAAGGAGGTGGATGTTAGCTAGAATGCTTATATCTCCAGAATGGCTGGAACGATTTTGACAAATTTTGTCAATTCAGAATGCCCTCTTGGCATAAAAGAATAAAATCTAAAAAAAAGTCGCATAAAAGGATGCCAGTAATGATGTTAATGTAGATTTTGCAGTATTTTGTGACATATTTTTATTTTTTCATAATTTGTATCGCATGCGATTATTTCAATTTAACTTATAATATTGAAGTATACATTTTGTAACATTTTTCACCTTACAACACAGGTTGGGATTATTATATATTTAGGGGTTGAAATGAACCAACAACGAAAAATGTTCCTGATTTTACAGCCGAAATAGAAACCAAAGGATACTAAATCTCGCATGAAGTTAGAGTTTAGGACAGCGGGTAGAATGGACCACTACTTTTGTGTGAAAAAATACCAAATGAACCAAAAATAGAAAAATATTCCTTATCACACAATTGAAGCCAATCGACACGCCTGAGAAGAGAGTTATGGACAGGGAAGAAGTCCTAGCATTTTAGATGCCAATTAGATTATATTTAGCTGTAAATTGACCACAACAACTAACAGCACGACAGAGTGCGCAAATATTGTGTTCTACGACATAATTTCAAAAGCGAAATCTTCCAAAATAGATTTGGACATAAGGGGGCTTCTAATATATTTTAGTGTTGTAGGGTATCACATGATCGGCCCCGCACGACTATAGCCTTTGCTTACTTGCTTTAAAAATATCTTTCACGAACTCGATAGCAAAAATTATGTTTTTCAAGAATAAGGCTTCCCGGGGATAATTCTGAACTTGTTAAAAATATTCTTCAAGGATATAGGGACAACAAATATTTTTTTTTATTTTTTTCAAGAACTTCATCCTTACTTATCAATTTTTTTAAAAATATTTTTAATAACAATCTTTTATTTATAGAAACTTCGACATAACTAAAAATTTTGGATCTTTAAAGTTTTTTGCAAAATCTTATTGCAGAATATTTTTAAGAATTTCCTTCAGAAAAATTATGTGTCTGAATTTCTTCCAATGTCTATCCTTATAACAATTTTGGTACATTTGGTTGGAGACTTTGGACTTTTCTGTCAAATATCCAAGAATCCGGGCCGTCCCAAAAAAAAAAATACTTTCCCGGAATCTGAAAAAAAAAATTCAAAAACAAAAAATCCGATAGTTTTTACTAAACTAGAGTGGTTCCAAAATATATTTCGAGGATATCGTTAGAAAAAAATTCTAGAAGTTTTTAAAATTTCTTTCCAAGAACTTCATCATGATATTTTTTAAAGAACTTTATTATGACTTGCAAGGTCTTCATGTAAAAATATATATATTTTTTAATTTCCTACCCAAAAAATTGTTCGTCTGGATTTCTAACAATGTTCTTTTAAAAAAATTGAGGACGTTTTAAGAACTATGAGATCGTCCTTTTAGGAAAAACTTGTTTAAGATTTTCCTTTGTTTAGAAGACTGATTGAAATTTTTCCGCCTACGGAATGTCTTTCAACCATAGAAATACTTTGGAATGTATTCTAGCCCTAGAAGCACCATGGGTGGTTATCAATCAACATAAGGTCATTTGGAGGTTTTTATCTGTATATAACCGCATTAAGGTATATCATATATGAAAGACCTGTTGAAGGTCTCATAATCATTTAACGTTAGTTAAGAAAGAAGTATTAAGATCGTTTTGAATGACCTATTGAAGTTATTTTTCTACTTCTTTGAAAGGACTGATGAGGGCCATTTATTGCGAAAGTTCTGCTAAGATTTTCTATTGGCCGTATTCCATCAATAGAAGAGCTTTAAAAGTCCTATATTTATGGAAAACCCCAATGAAGGTCTTCTACCTGAAAATATCTATTGAAGGTATTCCCTCTATACATGTCCTTTTAAAGCCTTCCTTGAATAGCTGAGTTTTTTAAGAATGGCTTTTCTCTATAGAAAAATTATTGAATGTCTCTTTCTGTAAAAGATCTCTTGAGTGTCTACTGTCTTTAGAGGGTCTGTATATTTTCCTCTTCTATCAATAGATATCCCCTTCTGCCATCTATAGCAGACTTTGAAAGGACCACTTAAAGGTTTTTATCTGAAGACTTTTATGGGGCCTTTAATTGATTGCTTTCTATTTTTAGAGGACCAATTTTAGTTACTTTGTTATCAATAGAATGCTTCTTGAAGGTATATTATAATTTCGTAGGACTTCTTTCATAAAGAACCTTTTTAAAAGGTCTTTAATTTTAAGAAGACACGTAGAAAGTATAGAAGACGTTTTGCCAACAGAAGACTTATTTGAAGGTCTTCTTCGAAAACATATCTGGAGAAGTAATTTTTACTTACTGTAGGTCTTCTATCCCTGTAAGTTTTCTATCTATGGAAGGCATATTGATTATATAAGATTTGTCGGAGACTTTTTAGTCTTTTGATAAAGGGGTTTCTTATTTATATGACCTTCCTTCTTCTTTTTTTTTTAAACAATTATATTTTATAATTATTTAATAATTATAAATAAATAAAAAATTAGGACTAACAATAAGAGCTGTCGGATAATATAAGGACCTGTTAGTTTCTTGGACTTCTTCTATATTTTGAATAACTAATGGTTCTCCAGGAAATCCAGAATATCAAATTGATGCTAATATTCCAATCCAACCCAACATTACAAATTTATTTCATATTTTGAATATCGAATAAAATCCCATCATCAAAAATATATAAGTTCACAGATGAGTGAAAATATTCGATTTTATCTCCAAAAAAAAAAAAAAAAACCAAATATCATCCAAAAACAACAAAACAAATTTCTGTTGCTAGTGACATTTTCGCATATATTCGTTCATTCATTCATTCTCTCGGAAAGGGAAAACGAAATCTGTATTACATTATTTGCGTCATGGTATGAATAAGCGATTGAATGGCTCCATATAGATATGTATGTCTGTACTTTTTTGGTTGGAAGCAACAGCTTTGTCACCGTCATCACCAGCCAAAGAAGCAATGTCATCTTTGTCACTGCCACCATATCCAACACCGCCATGATAATCGTCATTGCCATCGTCATCTTTCGTTGGTAGTGCCAAACATTCTCAAAATTCTGTTGGAATCTGTTTGCTGGCTCACTCACTCACTCACCAAATGCATCATCAGCAGCGGCAGCAGCAGCAAATATGGCACGGTGACACTGTTATACTGTCAGGACGACATATACACAGAAATGTATTAAAGTATTTTTATTTCCTGCATAGTTTCCGTTTCCCTACATCATCAGATTCCACTTTGGTATATTCTTCGATTGGTACTCTTCAGTTTTTTTGGTGGCATGGATCCTTCTTTGGATGCTTTTGTAACTTGTAAGGAAGTATAGTGAAGTGGAATTTTGAGAAACAATTCCAATGGAAGAGGAAGGTTAGGAGAGATATATTTATTTAAGGATCATCTCTTTAGAGGTAAATGACAGAGATAAAATAAATGCTCATTCGTTTTTCGCTCCTCATTAAGCTATCGACAGTAGGTCCCCTTTCGTTCTGCTATTTTTATACCCTTAGCCATATGGCTACAGAGAGTATTTATTATTTGATACGGCATACAAAACGTTCCTCATCGAAATAATGTATTTAGACCCTATGTCCCTTTGGACCAATTATCAGGGACTCCTTCAGGTACCGTGAGGAGGGCAAACATTTTGAGAAATTATTACTTTTATAAAACGTGAAATAAGATTCCAATCGTCTTCTAACTTCACACATCTTTTTGTTCTTATGAACACAAGATTTGGTAAGGAGATCGGATATATCGATTCACTCCTTCTGGTGCCTCACCCAAAACGGATCAAAATTTTGAATAATAATGAATCTTAATGAGCATCCGATTCTCTTCAAATGCCATATGGCTAGAAAGTCC